ACCTTCACCATGTGTGCACGTTCTTCCTCCGTCTTTGGTGATTGGTCTTTGGAGAGTCTGAAATGAACACCTAAAGGTGTACTTACTGGTTTAGCATCTTGCATGTTGAACCTGGAGAGTACTTTGTTGATGTACTCAGCCTGTGATAACATCAAAGTCCCCGACTTTGTGTCTCTCTTGATCCTCATCCAAGAATCTGCTTTGCAGCGCCCAGATCCTTCATAGCAAACTGCTTCGACAATTTTTGCTTCAAGTGTATAATCTCTTGCATGTCTGAGCCTGCAACGAGCATGTCATCAACGTACAATAATAAAATAATGAAGCTGTTGTCGAACCTCTTGATGTAGCAACAATGATCTGCTTGGCATCTGATAAAACCACTGCTACTCATGAAGCTATCGAACTTCTTGTACCACTGTCTAGGAGCTTGTTTTAAACCATACAAGCTCTTCTTCAACCTGCATACCAGGTTTTCTTGTCTGCCTCTATGAAGCCTTCTGGCTGCCTCATATAGATTTCTTCCTCCAAACCATGAAGGAAAGCTGTCTTTACATCTAACTGCTCAAGATGTAAATTCTCTGCAGCTACAATTTTCAACACCAGTCTGATTGTAGACAATTTTACGACTGGAGAGAAAATTTCATTGTAGTCAATACCTTCTTTTTGCTGAAAGCCTTTGACAACCAATCTTGCTTTGTAGCGTTTGCTCCCATCGTGCTCTTCTTTGATCCTGTAAATCCACTTGTTGTGGAGCGCTTTCTTGCCTGGTGGTAATTCAGCTAATTCCCATGTCTGATTTGACATAAGCGAGTCCATCTCATCTTTCATGGAAGACTCCCACTTGACTGAATCCTCCACTTGCATTGCTTCATCATAGCACTCTGGTTCACCATTGTCAGTCAAACAAGTAGTGTAAAGAAGGAGAATACCGTTGGATTGGTTTAGGAATTCTGGAGGAGCGTCTCAGTTCTGGTGTGCCTGGTTCTTCTTGAACTGCTTCAGGATTGATCTGAACATCATTTCCAGAAATCTCCTCGAACTCAGCAAATTCCTTTGTTTCAGCTTCGGTATTACTTGATTCTGCGGTTGATCTATCTTTGTACATCACATTTCATTGAAAATGACGTCTCTGCTTCTGATGATCTTCCGATTTTCATAGTCCCAAAACCGGTAACCGAACTCATCACCGCCATAACCAACAAAGGCACATTTGTTGGACTTAGCATCAAGCTTACTTCTTTCAGCAGAGTCTATGTGTACATAAGAAATACAACCAAACACTCTTAAGTGTGAAAGGTTTATTTCTTTCTTGCTCCAAACTTCCTCTGGTATTCTGCCATCCAAAGGAACTGAGGGCCCACGGTTGATCAAGTAAGCTGCAGTGTTGATTGCTTCAGCCCATAGAAATTTGGGCAAGCCGGCATGTATCCTCATACTTCTGGCACGTTCATTCAGAGTTCTGTTCATGCGCTCTGCTACACCATTATGTTGCGGTGTCTTGGGAACTGTTGTCTCCATCTTGATCCCATTGTTTGCACATAAATCTCTGAATCTACTATCTCTGTACTCTCCTCCATTGTCAGACCTCAACCGCTTGACTTTCAAACCAGTCTCATTTTCCACCATGGCCTTCCATTTTCTGAAGGTATCAAAGACTTCTGATTTCTTCTTCAGAAATAAACCCACACCTTCCTTTTGAATCATCGATGAAGGTGACATAATATAGTGAGCCTGCAAGAGATGGAACTGGGGATGGTCCCCATACATCAGTATGAATCAATTCTAACCTTTCTGTCTTGGGTGTCTTGCCAATCTTTGCAAAACTGACTTTCTTTGTTTGCCAAAGATGCAATCCTCGCATAGTCCGACATCTACATTCTTTAGATCCGGCAGCTTCCCTTTTGACAAAAGTGTCTTCATCCCTTTCTCGCTCATATGGCCGAGCCTTTGGTGCCATAGGTTTGATTTTCCATCAGCATCTGCTACTGCAATGATATTCTCTAAATTGGAGGTTACATAGAGAGTACCAGTCTTCTTACCACGAGCAATGACGAGTGCTCCTTTGGTAATCTTCCATTCACAGCCTGAAAAGGTTGTGCTATATCCTTCTCCATCAAGCTGTCCAACAGAAATCAGATTTCTTTTGAGGCCAGGAATTGTCTCACTCCTGTCAGCTTCCAGGTGGTCTGGTTTGGCAACTTTAGTCGGATGTCTCCTTTTCCGACGATCTTTAAGGTTTCATCATCAGCAAGATGAACCTTCCCAAAATCACCACTGACATAGTTCTCCATGATTTCTTGGCATGGGGTGGAGTGGAAAGATGCCCCTGAATCCAAGATCCATGATTCAATCGGACTGTTGACGCTTAGAATCATGGCATCACCTGTCTCCTCTGTCACGTTGGCAGATTCCTGTGCACCGGTATCTTTCTTCAGTGCTCGGCAATCTCTTTTAAAGTGACCTTCTTGCCACAATTATAACAGGTAAAATCTTTCTTTCCCGTTCTAGATTTTTCCCGTCTGGATTTTGATCTGCCACGATTTGAATATCTTTCTGAAGTTCTTCCTCTAGACTCCGTGTGCAAGGCTGAGGAGGTTGATGCTTCACCCGATTCTCTCCGTCGAATTTCTTCATCAGTACCAGATCCCGAACATCGTCAAATTTTAATTTGCTGTTTCCCGACGAACTGCTGACTGCTGTAACAGTAGCATTCCAACTGTCTGGTAGAGATGATAAGAGAATTAAGCTCGAACTTCATCATCGAACTCAATTTCCACTGAACTCAACTGGGTTGTGATTGTGTTGAGTTCATTAGGTGTTGTGCCACCGATGCCCCTTCCGTCATCCGCAAATTGAATAATCGCCTCATCAATGAACTTTGTTTGAGGCCGATGGCTTCTCGTACATACTGGAGAGAGCCGCCATAAGACCCGCCGTGGTCTTTCCTTGCTATGTTAAAAGCAACATTGCGGGATAACGTCAGTCGGATAACTCCGAGGGCTTGTCTGTCGAGAAGAGCCCAATCTTCATCCTTCATGCCCTCTGGTTGCTTTCCTGAGAGAGGTTGATATAGATTTTTCTGGTACAAAAAATCTTCAATCTGCATCTTCCAAAAGCCAAAGTCCGCACCATCGAACTTTTCAATTTTCACCTTCCCTTCGTCTGCAGCCATCGCTCCACTCGAATCTGGCTTCGTTTGGATCGTTTCTGACAATTCTTGCGAATCACTGTGTATTAGAACACCACCGTCGACAAACTCGTATCGCCGACCGAATTTCACTATTCACGAAATTCACTATTCACGTGAATAGTAATGAATAGTAACCTCGCAGAAAATTTGACAAAATTCACAACCAAAAGCTCTGATACCAGTTGTTAGGAAAATAAACCGAGTACAAGTAATTTCCCTATAACCAGATTAGTGAGAATGCGAAATAAAAGCGGAAAAATAATACCCGAAAATTGATAACGGAGTTCAGCCAATTGTGCTTACGTCTCCGGGCTGCTGCAGATCTTTTACTAAGAGAGAAAATTTACAGGTGTTTACAAAACACTCACTACTCACAAGAAAGCTCTCTAGTATAGGAAGAAAGAAATGTTTTGGGATGATTTTGAAGCTAAATGGGTAAGGGTATTTATAGTAGAAACTTAGGGACTAATCTTTGAAAATACCCTAAAGTGCAATGACTAAAGTGAATTTACCCATTCCTATTTTCAACAAACATCTACCAAAATTTTACCAAACTTTGAAAAACATTTTTCAAAGAAACATTTACCAAACTTTGAAAAAAACATTTTCCAAAGTTGGTTGCCAAACTTTGAAACTTTTAACATTAATGAATCTTCATCTTCTTAAGTATGCAAGTAAGAAAAATATAAAACCATTAATCTTTAATTAAAAATGACATTATGGGCTTATTCAGGTTGTTATAATGATCGAAAAGAAAAATAAACAACGCCAAAATTTATGTAGAAAATTCAAATGGGGGAAAACTACTAGTAGAGGATAAGAATATTTTACTATTTCGAAAAAGTACAAGATCTGTTACATATTTTTAGGGATGGGCATGGGACCCGACCCCGATCGGATCGTTTTTTTAATTCGGGTCGGGTCGGTTTTTTAAAGGTGATGTTCGGGTCGATCGGATTCGGGTTTAGGGTGAAAAATACAAGGCCCAGACCCGACCCAAAAAAATAATTTTACTTTATATATCTATGAATAATTACAATAATATCCCTCTATATATTATTATTTTTAATTAAATCACTGTTTTTATTGAATAAAATAATATTTTTTATTATTTTGGGTTGGGTTGCGTCGGTACGGATTTTATCTTAAAAAGTCGAGTCGGGTGAAGGGTATATATTTTTCTGGTCGGGTGAAGGATGTTAAATTTTTGAGTCGGGTCAGGTTGGCCGAAACCCTACCCAAACCCGACCCATGCCCATCCCTACATATTTTACATCAAAAAAAATTCTAATATCTACTTTTTATTATAGAGATCAAACGGATTATACTGCTTCACTCGTCCTCACACTTTTATCACTATTTTGATTGTAACTTCATGCGTTGGTCTAAGAAGAACTTGAGTCATAACTCTAAGATATGTCGTGAGTATTTTGATCCTAATTTTTTCATCTTTTTGGTTTAAAATCATTGTTGCATAGATATACAGAATTCGTCAAGGCCTTTTAATGAGTTTTTGATTTTAAAAAATTCATGATCGATCATTGAAGAATTGCATTTGAAAATTTTCACACTAATATTTTTCATCGTGAAAAATAAAATTATTACAAGAGAAAATGGAAATAAGAATGTTTCATAATGAAAATAAAATAAAAATAAAATGTTTTCTAAAAATGTTAAAATGCTTGAATCCTATCCAAATAAATGTCACAAGTTTTCAGATGTTCCAGTCTAAACAAACCATTTCATCGACATGTCAAATGGTTAATTTACCTCTCTTAAGCTCGTATTCAATGAGATACCTAAGACTAAGTCAGTTCCGAGGCTGCTGAGTATCAAGTAGCTTGTCCAACAATGGCCATCCACTAGTGCACCTTGTCTGATCTGGCTGCATCGGTCCATGGCCGCCTCTGGTCGATGTTAGCCTCGACGAGTTTCGAAAACATCCGATATCCATGGAGTTCGAAGAGAGAGGTGACATGAAGGAAGACGCAACAGCTGCTAAGTGTGGGGTGAATAATTGAGGGAGGTTGATGGTGGAACTGCCATCAAAGGAATAATCATATGATGCTTGCAAATGATTATGCCTTACCTCCAATTGAGCAGAAGAAGCAACGTTGTTGATTTCAGTGGAGTCGTCTTCTTCACCGAAACCTGCTTCGAAATGAACTGATCTGCTATGATTCTTCTTCTTGAAAACCCTGCACAGAACCCATCCGTCTTCCTGATAGTGAACACCAACGAGAAGGGTGTGTTGATCATTAGCTTTTATTTTCTTTCCTTCATTACGAAAATAAATAAATAAATATTAGGATAAACTACACCTTTAGTACTGCAACTATTACTTTTGTTTTGTTTTAGTCATTCAACTATTTTTTTTTTCAAAATCATGCTTAACGTAACATTTTAGTTTCATTTTGATCACTCATCTATAAAAAAATAATAGAACTGTTGACATGACATTTTTTTCAATGATGATGTGACATTATTTTATGGTAACATGTCAATATCATCGTTAATTTTTTAAAGGTGAGTGACTACAATGAAACTAAAACTAAACATTATGTATGATTTTTGAAAGAAAAATGTTGAGTGTCCAAAACAAAACAAAAATGATAAATTAGATACTAAACGTGTAGTTTATAGGGATGTTCATTTTTCGGTTTTAGATGTATAGTTTAGTACCCAATTATCACTTTTGTTTCGTTTTAGTCATCTAACTTTTTTTTGTCAAAATCATAGCACAAAAGTGATAATTGAGTATTAAATGTGTAGTTTAAAGGGGTGTTCATTGTTCGGTTTTAAACGCGTAGTTTAGTACCGAATTATCACTTTTATTTCGTTTAGGTCATCCAACTATTTTTTTCAAAATCATAGCACAAAAGTGATAATTTAGGTATTAAAAGTGTAGTTTATAGGGGTATACATTGTTCAGTTTTAAACGTGTAGTTTAGTACCCAATTATCACTTTTGTTTCATTTTGGTCATCCAACTATTTTTTTTGTCAAAATCATAGCACAAAAGCGATAATTGGGTACTAAATGTGTAGTTTAAAGGGGTATTCATTGTTCAGTTTTAAACGTGTAGTTTAGTATCGAATTATCACTTTTATTTTGTTTTTGGTCATCTAAATATTTTGTCAAAATCATAGCATAAAAGTGATAATTTAGGTACTAAACATGTAGTTTATAAGGATATACATTGTTCGGTTTTAAACGTGTAGTTTAGTACCCAATTATCATTTTTGTTTCGGTTTGGACACCCACCTATTTTTTCAAATCATAGCAGAAAAGTAATAATTGAGTAGCTTAAGGGGGTGTTCATTGTTCCGTTTTAAACATGTAGTTTAGTATCGAATTATCACTTTTATTTCGACTGAACATTCAATTTTTTTTAAATCATACCTATTTTTTTTGGTCGATACTTAAAAACTTTTAAAATGAAATAGATGTATATATATTACCTGTACTTTATCAGAACCATCGTCGTCCAATCGATATTCATGCACGATCCAATCTGTTTTGTGGCCATGAGGAGCACGTCCCATGTAGAAAACTAGGGTTTTCCTCATCCCAATTCTCCTGGAGTTTTCAAGGCAGACAGCCTTGTCTCTCCCCGTAGCCTTCCAAAAACCAGCGGCAGTTGCCCGATTCGTTCGAGTTCCAGTTGGGTATTTCTTGTCCTTGTGGCTGAAGCAATACCAGTCGTTTTGAGGACCGGAGCCGATCTTACATTTGTCTGCATGTACAAGCAACCTATGTTGCACTGATACGGATACGGGGACGGGATACGGCAATTTTTAAAATTACAGGGTACTGGGACGGCAAGGGTATGGTATATAAAATAATTTTAAAATTATAAATATATATAAAAAATCATAAATAAACTCAAATATCAAGACTCAAACAACAATATTAAGTTTAGATATCATGCATCAATTGAATGTAATTGAAAACAAAACATGCGAATATAAAAGGCGAAAAGAGATGTTCATAATAAAACAACAACATTCACATGAACCAAATCCTTGGACGAATATAAAACAACTAATAAAAAATAAAACATCTTAGCATATCTATACTGCAGCCCCTTAACTAAGGCTCTCCCCTTAATTCCCGAATTCATATTAAAAAAGCCAACATCATAAAGAAAAGATCCAAAATTCAATCAGCTTATATGAAAGTCGCTTAAGATAGGTTTCAGAGAGAGATCTCACTCTTCTGTTTAGCACATAACATTAGTTTAGCACAGATGCAAAATTCCTCTCTGAACAACTATGGGAAATTAAGGTGCAAATATTTGTACTGACCCTCAACTAGAGTTGAACTACAGCTTGGCGAAACATTTTAGCATGACACGTGTTAAAAGTTGAACGTAATTGTTCTAAAGCAAACAACAAAAGACCAAAACGTTCAAATATCATTTATTTGCTATCAAATGCAAGGGAACAAACAAAGAGTAATAATCATTTGCTACTTTCCACTTGAAGTATGATACAAAAGAAAGTTAGTTGCTACTCGCCAATAGAAACTCTATATCAATAATCATTTGCTTGCAAACAAAGGCGGGATTACAAAAACAAAAATAAAAAAGGAAGTGTGCGTTGCTACTCAAAACTCCATATCAGTAGTTGCTGGCTAGCAAAGACAAGGGAACAAAGAAGAAGCATAAATCCACAATGAAAGCCAGTTACTACTCAAAATTTCATATCAATAGTGAATTTATAATTTAAAAAAACAGTTCATACTTTCACCAAAAGCCATATAAGAATCTTTCTTCAGCTTCTCCCACCTAATTAAATCCCTATTGAAAAAAATCCTGCTTTCACTACTCAAAACTCCATGTTCTTTTCTTATCATTTTTTTCGGGTGGACTTTCAGAAACAATATCATCCAAGAATGGGCAATCCAATTGTTCCCAAAATGGAAGCAACTAAAACAACACCTAGAACAGTTTAATTAAATCCCTAGACGCCGATTACCTTCATGGGCATCTGTAAAATGTATTTCAACAGCTTCGTAACCTAAATCAATATACAATATAACCTATCAGAAGAGAAACTCTTCACAGTTTCACAATTCTGTTTATGAGAATGAGAAATAAGACCATGTCAAAAAGACAGAATGTCGAAAGAAATGAAAATCCTTCTGTGTCCATTCGCACTATCACGACCATATAAAGAAAAAAGAATAGAGAGAGAGCAAAAAATGTCCATAAACAAATTACCATATTGGTACGAAATAATTTATAAAATCTTGAAATACTTACAGCAAAAGAGCAGCAGAGAAATCTGGCTTGTTCAAGTTTATCCCAGCAGTGTGCTTGGTAAAAGAAGCAGAAGCTGTATCAAATCCAACTTCACCACCCAAATAAAGCTCGTTGCTGCCGATTGTTGCCGACTAGGTTATGCTGTTGTGAGTTTTTTTTAAAAGTAAAATGACGAAAAGCACCTGGGGACGCATGTGAAAGTCACATGCCGTCCCCGAAACGTCCCCAGGTTCCGGTGAAACGTCTCCGACGTCGTTCAGTCGTACCCTGTCACCGTGGCACGTCCCCGGTACGTACCCCAGCCGTCCCTGTGTCGTCCCCATGCCAGGGACGTATCGGGTACTTGAAACGGCACCTCTATGGCGTCCCCGTGCTTCCTTGCAAGCAACAACACATGAAACAAGTAATTAATCACAATACATATTTTACATACAAAAAGGAGTAGTTCACCGGAGAAATAAAGTGAATGGACCTTGAAGGTCCCAAGGCTCGAGTTTGTTGAGATCCACCTCCCGCATAACATCAAGGTCGATAGCTTCACATGACACCTTCTTCCTCAGGTAATAGTACAGTAGCTCCTCTTCTGTTGGGTGGAACCGGAAACCCGGCGGAAATAAAACCTGCCCATTTTCGCCTGCCATCGTTTTACCCCCCCCCGGAAAGAATTATATATATAATTAATAAGCAGGATATTTACGAAAGCTAAATTATTTATTTTAGAGACAGGATCAGAGAGAGACATACAGACAGACAGACTAGAGATGCACTATAAATTTGTGATTCTCTTTGGGTATTATTCTTAGTCGGTTGAACGGGAGATCTTGTAGGGTGCGTTTGGTTCACGAAACTTAAGATTATAAGTGAAAATGTATGATTAATATGGAATATGATTATTGAGAATGTTGTATTTTGTGTTTGGTTGGTTTAACAGGAATATAAAATTACCGTGTTTGGTTAAAAGAATAAAATATTATTGGAATGTGTATTTGACCAAATTGTCCTTATTATGTATTTGTTTTTTAACAAGTTGAAAAATATTTATATGTTTTCTTTAAAAAAAATAAATTCATAAAATTTATATATATATTTATAAAATTAAAAATATAAAAATGTTTAATGAAAGGCTAAAATTTTATTTTAACCCTGAATTTTATATAAAATTTTAATTATAGATTTTTTTTGTAAATCTAAAATAGTTTAAGGATAAATTTGTAATTTGACCTTCATAGAATTTTTATTATTCAATGACAGAAGAAGGATATTTTTGAAAAAAATAAAAATTTAAGGGCATTTTAGTCCAAAACGCCGGTAATCCAACAATACCTAAGAAAATGGAGGTAATGACATTCCCGATAATATACTCAAAAAAATCTATTATTGGTAATAAAACATTACCGAGAATGAGATTCCCGGCCAACCAAACATGAGAATGTGGATTCTATTCCCATGAGAATCTCACATTCCTTGATCCAAACACCCCCTTAATTTCTCCTCTTTTGAATGAGGAAAATCTTCAAAGCTGTCATTGTAAATAATTCTTCGAACATTTAGTTGGAATTTCACATTATATAAACATACATTTAGATATTAAGTGTTGAGTTGAGTCGATTTATAATCAACTCGACTCAATATAAAAGATATATATCTTTTATTAGAATATATGAAAAGTATAAACTTTTCATTTGATAAATCTACAAAGCATATCCCTCTATCCCAATTTGATTAAATTCGAGTTTTTAAGGAAAAAAATTTTATTTGATTTTATCCGAATAAAAAATTATTTTTATTATGTAAAATATGAACTTAATTAAAAAAAACTATAAGGAGAGTATTATAACAATATCCTTAAATTTATTTTAAAAAATAAATTATTATCCCATGTCATGTCAAATATGAAGTTTTTCAATCTAAATCTTAAATAAACTAGCTCGATGTGATCTGACTTCACATTTTATAAAATTTGACCCGAATTAATTTGAACTCAATCTTTTTTATAAAATATATCCTATCAGGTCGAGTCAAAATCTGTTAATTTCAGATTAAATTATCATCTCTAATCACTTTATAATAGATTTTTATAAAATCTAATTTGAATTAATTGATCGATCAATCAATATCATATGGAATAAAAAATATTTAAACTCGACAACATCAAATTCAATAAAGTGATTAACTAACAGTGTTGATATAACACAGAGCCCAACACCATACACACAAAGGGATTCTCACGCAATCTCATTAGGTCTATTATTTGCTATAATTATTAATAAAATGCTAAAACTAGTGTGCCTGCGTTACCTTAACGAATACTACACTACACGATAATGGTGGAAAACACCATACTAATCTACACTTGAAGCAGCTGCCTATTAATAATCATGTTCATATTAATGACCCTGTTACTTCCATTTTCAATACGCGTAATACTGAAAATATATTTTTAAAATTTGAGTAATAATTGTTTTGACCTATATCTTTTTAAACTATTTTAATTTAGAACATTTTATTTTTAAGGTAAAAAAATCCCTAACATCCGATTAAAAAGTCATTTTATCTTTTATTTTTTTATCATATTGATCTTCAACTATTCATTGTAGGATAAAAAGACTCGTATTTTAGAACATTGATAGTTTGTTAACAATAATTTTCATCGGCGTAGTGATTTTTTTATCTTAAAATGAAACATCAAAAACTAAAATTGTAACACCCATCTCCCGTATATATTACCGTACACGATATACAGATGTCACATCACTTTTAAATTCATTTCATTCTAAAATACCAAAATGCCCTTTTAATATTACCATTCTTACTAATTTGTCTTACTTAATCGTTTCTTATACTTTACCACTTATTCAATTTAGTCTTCCAAATTTTAATTCCTTTCAAATTAATCACTGACCTACTATTTGGGGTATTACAAAAATATTTTAAAATCATAATAAGAGTTAAAATAGTTATTTAATCAAAGATATATTTGTAGTATTATCACTTTTCAACATAAAAAGGGAATCTCCAATTCTTTTTTCATTAGAAGAGAGAATAACATCTTGAATGAGCCTTCACCGTTGAAAATTGTCATTGAAAAGCTTGAGTCCCGATGTGTCAATGAGAAACTGTCGGAGTGGCAACGACGACAGCACGAAACGGGCCGCACTGGAAGGTTTTGAGTTTTGCTCAGACGAAATGAAAATGAAATGAAAAAAAGAAAAAGAGAGGAAAGTTAAGGTTTCAAATTATGTAATTTTGAATGTATTATTATTTTTAATTAATGATACCAATGTTTTAGTTACATTCTAAGTCTTGTCAACAAATACACAAGACGATTAAAACTCCTCAAGCAAAATCACCCCAGATTTGTTTCATTATAACCTTAAGAGAGTGATTTTGTTGTTTTTTCCTCCCGTTCCAGGACTTCGTTCTGACTAATCCGGATCAATTCGCGTCGGACACATGACTGTGATGGGTGAGTCACTCAGCGTGAATTTTCTGCATACATAAAGTCTCACACTTAAGACATGCTTAAGCGATATCAAACTAAGTGATTTTGATATTTTAATCGTTAATCTCCAATTGGTTTGGCTTTAGTTTAAAAGCATATTACTTTTTATAATATTTTCATCTTTATCTCAAGGTATGTGCATACAAAGATGGGAAGGCTATTATTGACAATTTGACACTGCTGCTGGAATGCTTGGAAGATATGATCCAATCTGATATATATATATATATACAAACAGTATAGCTGCATGAATGTTACACTGGTTAATAGAGTATGGTTAAAGTTTAGGCATAATTACAAAAAAAAAACTTAATGTTTAATTAAATAATCATTTTGATTTTTATTATTTTATTTTTTAAGTATTTTGATGTTAATGTTTTATTTTAGGTGTAAAGACCTATTTGTTGATCGAAATTGTTAGTCAATTAACGGTTCAAAATAATGACCTTTTGCTCTAAAATGAAACATTGGGCCCAAATGCTCCAAATAAAGAATAAACATTAAATTGATTATTTAGTAAAACGTTAAGAGCATTTTTACCTTAAAATAAAACATTGGAGAAAAATACTTTAAAAAATATAGAGATCAAAATAACTATTTAGACAAATATTAGGGATATTTCTTGTCATTATGCTTAAAATTTAATGGCAAAAATGTCTTTGACCAGTATATTTTAAAAGGCTTATATCATATATAATCAGTTACTTTTTTTATTCTAAATACTTAAAGTAATTTTTGATGAAAATTAAAATATATAGAATTATCATTTTAGTCAAAATATATACTTAAAGATTTTTTTATTAAAATATACTCTTAAATTACAATATCTTTTTAATTTAATAACCTCAAGTTTTCTTTAATTAGTATCACATGTAATTTTTTAATTAATTTATGATAATTATAATATAGAATTTGTTCTAAAAATTCTCAGTTATTTGATAATAAAAGGTCAAGCACCCTTGCATTCTCTGGTGCTCAAATCTAAAACCTATAGGAATAACAACCATCCTTTAACACTAATATAGCTTGGTTCGTGCAATTTTTTTAGAATTTAGAAAAAAAAAATATTTTACACATTTGTTTTGATAAAAAAAATACTTTAAATATTTATTTTGACCAAAACGGTAACTTTATATATTTTATTTTGATAAAAAGACATTTTAGATACTTAGATAAAAATGATAATATATTTTTATGTATTTATTTATGATACGAGCCACTTTAAAATGATTTATAAAAGTTTTTTTTTTGAAATCATAATTTTAAAATAAATTATAATTTATTTTCTGTTTTAAATTTTTAATTAAATAACTTTGATGGTAAATGAATTGTTATTATATATCAAACAACTTGATAACGTCCAACTCAAATGATCATTAACTTTTTAACGGAAAAGGAAGAGTTTGGAATATGTTGAATAGTCGGATAGTCATTTTATAATTTTTAATAGTCGAATGACTCAACAAAACAATTACCTATAATTGATGGATCATTTTCTAAATTTTAATAGTTTGGAGAACTAATAAAATAATATTCTATAGTCAGGGACTATTTATGTAATTCATTCTAAAATTTAATATATATTTCGTAATTTTTAAAATTTTAATATTAAAAATATAATAATAATTTGGATAAAGTATAGTAATGGTCACTGAACATTTCTGAAACTTGCATTTAGGTCCCCCAACATTTAAAACTTGCAATACAGTCCCCCAACATTTATTCCGTTTGCAATATGGTCCCCCAACTTAAACCAGAGTTAGAAAATTAGGATAAATTATATAAACGGTCATTGAACTTTTCAGTCACTTGAATTTCGGTCCCCCAACTTTTAAAACTTGCAAAACAGTCATCAATTTCATTCTAAACCCCAATTTCCAAAGTAATTCAATTTTATTCTAAACCCTAAATTCTAAAATACTTCAATTAAATTCTAAAATACTTCAATTTAAGGTAATATAGGCTTGAAGAAAGAGTTCAAGGCACAGACACAACGAATAAAAATATATTTATATAAATGTATATTTATATTTAGATGTATAAATAAAAAATATATTCATATATTAATGTATGAATCATTTATATTTTTTGAATATTTTATTTTTAATAAGAAATTAAAATTATTAATTATATTAGAAATACTCAA